CACACACACACACACACACACACACACACACACACCCACACACACACACACACACACACACACACACACACACACACACACACACACACACACACACACACACACACACACACACACACACACACACAGTGTGGTCCAACAGCCTGCTGGCAACGGAAATCCACGCCGGCGAAATCAGGGCCCGGCTTGCGCAGGTCATCCGAGCCCCGGCGTCGTCTCCGGCGCGCGGAGCCTCCCGCTGCGCAAGCATACCCACTCGTCCCACCTCGAGTTCCAGCCCATGTAGTGGACTAACAGCTCGCGCGAGGTGCCCTCGCCGCGGGCGTCCAACGCCTTGGCGCCCGTCCACTGGCGAATGCGCACACAATAGCACTCCAAGCGGGCGCCCGCGGTCCAGCCGGCCCTCAGCGCGGGCTCTGCGTTTGCCCAGAGGTCCTCCTCCTTTGCCGGCGCGGCGTCGCTGCGCTTGGGCTTCTTGCTCCCCTTCTTGCTCACCGGCTTGCGCCGCTGCGCTGCCGCAGTCGCCGCGGCCGCCTCGGCGCCGTCCGCAACCTGCCTGCCGGGAAGCCGCCCGAACACGTGAAGCCCAGGGTGGCGATCCCTCAGGATGCAGCCAAAGGTGCCGCACTTGTCGTACTCAGGCGAGCCTCGGGTCGCGTCGGCTGGCACGTCCGGTCTCACGCCGGGAGAGGAAGGGCCGTCCAGCGCCTCTGGTTGGGCGGGTGGCGTGGCGCCGCTCGGTTGTTGCGTCGCGGCCGCCCTCGCCGCCTCTTGCGCCAGCGTGTAGCCCGTCCGGTAGGCCATGCGCCTCCTTGCGGGCGCAGGCGGCGGTGCCATTTGTGTAGTGCCCGGCAGCTTCTCGGGGTCGCTGATGGGCACGGTGGACTCCAGGATAGCAAACTCGTCGCCTAGGCTGCTGTCAATCTCGCATGCTGGCATCCGTGAGTCCGTCTGACTTTATAGGCTGCGAATTGCGTCGGCCGCCTCGCTAAGCCAAGGTTTCGCGGCGCGAAAGTGGCCAGGCCTTGAAAAGAATTTTTCTTACTTAGCCGCGGTGTAGGCTTGGCTGCAAAGGGGATTTGCGCGTCTCGTGCTCGCAACCCTCTCCGAGGTCGTTCTTGACCGCCCTCGAGGTCGTGCTTGACCGCCCGCCGGTCGCCGTCCCGGCGCGAGATGCAGCAGGCTTGCCGTCGTCCAGCCCTTTTTGCTTCGGTTCGTCGGCAGCGACGCGCCAGTCCTGGCGCAGCCGCCCCGCCGTGCGGACCACGGCCTTGCAGCCCGTCGACGCGCCCGACGACGTGACCGCGGCCGAGATGGAGGCCTTTATGCATCACATCGAGTCGAGCTTGTACCAGCCGCCCGACGACAGCGACATCGCCCACGAGTTCACGGCGTGGCTGGCGGCGCGCCGCGAGACGTTGCGGGCCGCCGCCGGTGCAGGCTGCCGCCCTCGCGACTCGCAGGCCGACGTCGCCGCACCCGACGCCGCCGGCGCCGACGATTCGCGCCGACGCGCCTCGCGCCGCCGGCGAGCCCTCGCCCGACAACCCGACGGGGCGCGCGACTCTGCCCGCACCTGCGCCGGCGGCGGCGTCTGGCCGCCGCCGCCGCCGCCGCCGGAGCAAGCCGCTCGCCGGCGGCGGCGGCGACAAGGAGAACTCGGACGTCGAGATGGACGCGCTCATGGTCGAGAAACCCCGGCCTGCGGAGACGGAGCAGCGCTGGCGCGCCGTCCTTGCCGCGCGCCGCGAGTCTTACGACCGGAACCTCGAGAAGGACAACCTGGAGCGGCCGTGGTACAACAAGCCACACTTCCAGGGCGACGTCGAGGCGGAGTGCAAGCTGTGGGCAAG